TTCTGATGTGTTGTTTTTCTATCACTTTTTTTGTTGTGGAAGGGGGGGGGGGGGATGTAGTATAGAGTAACGTCATTCAATTGGATGTTCCTACCTTCATTAGATTCTATATTTACATGTATGTATAATATATAGATTTAAATGTGCTATGTTAGAGTGTTCCACCAAAACCGATTACATGTACTGACACTGGCAGGCCCCTTGTATGTGATTCCATAATTTACATGTAATATCCTGTACTTTTAAAAAAATTACGCACATTTCGGGTTAAGACAGCCAATCTTCTTCGGACAGGTGGACACACGCCCTTATTTGTTAATTGTTGTGGTTGTTTCTGGGCTGTTCTAGTTTTGATTTCATTCTGTTGTGAAACATTTCTTTTTCTCGTTTTTACACTCATCTAAAAATCTCTAGACGAGCTCTTGAAAATTGAAATAGATCTAGAAATCTAGACCCAAAAATTTACTCCTTCCCAGACCTCGCGGAATGGCAGAATGAAAGTTGGCGCCGAACTCTCGCAAATAGACAAAAAATCACGAGACCGGAAGCCGGAAACCGTTCGGAGGAATAAAGATCGGCACTATTTCCCCGAACGTTCGGAGAAATAGTCACTTCGTTTTTTTCGGGGGAGGGGTGGGTATGAAGGCAACATCGGATGACAAAAACTGGACTTGGAGTTCTGAACTGCCGGGTTATCCTCCTACGTGACACTGAGACTACGTGCCCGGTTACCGTGTACGTAGATATTGAGGCTAGATGCCCGGTTACCGTGTACGTAGATATTGAGGCTAGATGCCCGGTTACCGTGTACGTAGATATTGAGGCTACATCCCCGGTTACCGTGTACGTGACACTGAGACTACGAGCCCAGTTGCCGGTTACCGTGTACGTAGACACTGAGGTTAGGTGCCCGGTTACCGTGTACGTAGACACTGAGGCTAGGTGCCCAGTTACCGTGTACGTAGATACTGAGGCTAGGTGCCCAGTTACCGTGTATGTAGATACTGAGGCCAGGTGCCCAGTTACCGTGTACGTAGACACTGAGGCTAGGTGCCCAGTTACCGTGTACGTAGACACTGAGGCTAGGTGCCCAGTTACCGTGTATGTAGACACTGAGCCTAGGTGCCCAGTTACCTTGTACGTAGACACTGAGGCTAGGTGCCCGGTTACCGTGTACGTAGACACTGAGGCTAGGTGCCCGGTTACCGTGTACGTAGACACTGAGGCTAGGTGCCCGGTTACCGTGTACGTAGACACTGAGGCTAGGTGCCCA